CACACCTTGTACAATTTATCACCAAATCAAATGAAACCTTGGTTCAAACCGTGGAAAAAGAGATTTGATCAAGTAAATGGAGGAGAAGAGGGGAGAAGAGAAACGATAAAGAAAAGGACAACAACAAGGAAGTCGTCTGTCACCGACGGCGTTGGTTAAGCCGTACAATAATTAATTGAAACGAATAGGGAAAACCTGGTGAGATACCTGGGGTGGCCTCCAACCGCATCCTGCCAGCGGAAGTCCGTCGGCCCCTAATGGACAGGGAGCATCGAGGCCGGGTACACCCTGATCTCCTTTGTTGCCTTTGTCGCCTTTCCTACCCCGTTTCCCCGGCGGTCCCTGTATTCATACACGAGAAACGTTTCAGCATCCAAATGGCGTGTTAATGTACAGGCGAAATTATTTTCGCGGACGTGCAAAAAAGGCCAGGCACAAGATAAAAAATCTCTTTATGCATAAATAATAAATCGATTAAAATTGTGCAAATGAGCATTAACGGTCCAAGATAAAGGCGTCGTGATATGTATACATATGTATATATATATATATAAAATTTGTCTTTTTATCGATCTTTATATACGTCGAGCGTTAGAATAAAAGAAACGTGGGTAATGTCTAAATATTATGCACATCTCTAAGGAAGTTATCGTTAAAATTAGTTCATTAATTTATATACGCTGGTGGCAGCATACGCATAAAAATTAATTTATATCTATTTCTTTTTATCTATGATGATTTCTTTTTTTTCCTCGTCTTTCAACGTTTACATGCGTTGTGCAATAAACACAGTATATTATATCCCAGTGTTAAACCGTCCCATTATTATTGGCAAATGATTAATCGTACTTTGTGCTACAAAAATTTAAGATTAGAAATGATCGAAATTAAAATTAAATTATCTATGAATAATTAATTAATCGGTATTAGTGGTAACATGATAATAGTTTGTGTTAATGATAATAATGATAAAATATATGATATTAGTAATGAATTTCCGAATTTTATAGTAAATTTTTTTTAGGAACGAGTAGGAATAATTTCTCGTCGATCAGAGAGTTTTTTTTTAATGTTAAAGAATTTATTATGAGCTTGCTCGCTCGTCACAAACTACGAATTTTTTTTTTTTTTTTTCCTTGCCCAATTATTTAAAACTGATTAGTCGAATTTCATCA